TTATTCTCAGGCTGTAGGAAATTTAAGGGTAGAAAGTGACCGATACAGCTTATTTAAATAAAGTGTTTATTTTCAAAAAGATTGATCAATGTACATTGATTATATTGATATCATTACCAAGATTTTTTTTTATTTTTTTCATTTTATTATATTGTTAAGCTTTGTTAAATAGGTTGTATTAATACCTCTCCTGCAATGTTGGTAGCATTTCATTTTTTTGTTGATTTGCATTCATTGTACCTGATATCAGTAAAGCAAATCTAAAATATTTTTCCCATCATTGTTATAAAAATGGTTGTATTAAGCTGTTTAACTTTAGTTGTACTCCTGAATGAGATACAGTAGAGAAGAACATTGTGGTGTATATTTTTATTGTGATTGCAGAACTGAAAGGTAGAGGTGATCTTGTCACAAAGTACTGTAAATCTTAGGTAATGTAAAAATGTATCTTACAATTTATGAATTGCATATGTTCTCACATTGCATATGTTGTCTTTTTATAAATCAATATAACTGTTATTTAATGTAAATCTGTTTGCTTGAAAATATTGCTAAAATGTTTTTAACATGCTCATTTAAAAATGACTGATGCTAGTCCTTTGTATGTGATATGTGCTTCTCATAAAATCATGAACTAATGTTTTTGATAAATCACAAATTACTTTACTCCCCTTTTATGGGAATTATAACATAAAGCTTTATCGGTAAGCAGTTGAATGGTTGAGAGATATGGGAAGAGCATGGGTTAGATATTCCAGTTGTTTATATGAAAGTCTTGTCTTTCTTTTTGTCTATTATTGTGAGAAATCCTAGTTCTGGTATTAGATTATGCTGATGATTTTGGCTTGTATAGAGTATAACATATAGAAGGAATGTACATCAAGGAATGCAGAAACTCAAGAAATAATGACTTCTGCTGTTTTTACTTGATTTGCAGTATTAATGGCCTGAACTATGTGGATAAATATGATTCTTCAAGATTTAGAGTTCTAGATGAGATACCGATATTTTGTGAGTTTATGGTGAAATATTTGCAAGTAATAACAGCATTATAATTAAAAGGATGAATATAATGCTTGAGAATGATATTAGTCATAATGAGTATATAAGGTTTGATTCTGTATTACTTATGAATTCTATTGAAATCATCTGGCCATGTACTTTAGGAATACGATAGCTTTGTGTGTACCTGAATGTGAGAAATATTACAGACTATGTGTTCCGTAATTACATTTCAACAAGAAACATGAATTAATGACAACTGATTAAAGAATTGTGTCATGGTTGTTGATACTGAAATTATGGGTAGAATAGTAATCATTCTATTTTCTCTGCATTTATTTGTAAAGGTTGTAGATCAATAGTTATGTAAATATTGTTTCTAAAAAGTTGTATGGAGCTTTAGTCTGAATTTACTAAGCCTTGAAAATATATGTAAGTTCTTGTATTTTTTTTTTTTTTTTTACTTGTCTGGAGAGTTTTTGTGGTGCAACAACCATTATTTTCTGTGGGTTATACATGATTACCAGACTTAATTTTTTCCCTTCATTCTCCTCTTTCCAATTTCAGCATGTGTAGTAATTTATGTCAAATACTTTTCATGTGCTTGTTATATCATGTGATGAAATGTCAAATAGCTTTTCATTATCATACACCTGATATATTTCGAAATATATCCTAAGATATACCATCTTCATAGAAGTACCAACTAGCTTTTACAAGTTTGGTATAATGATTGCAGTTTATATTTACACAGTACAGCTCTATGATATCTTGTGCAATCATTAGTCTATGAAATCTTTATACCTTTTTTTTTTTACATTTTTTTCTTCTTCTTTTTCTTTCTACTTCTTACTTCTTCTTGTATGTTAAACTTGACTTCGATGCACTCCTGACAGTAGATGGACGCCCTTGCTATGGTCACTGAAGAAAAACAGAAAATCAAAAGACTCCTTGCCAACACATTTTTTATGCAGCAGCTAGGAGTGTAGAGAGTGGGGTAAATTCATTTCCCACATTTTAATTTATCCCTTGAGTGGCTGATTGGAATGTAGCTTGGTATGGCACTAAGAGATCACATAACATGAGCGGGTTCAAACTGCAGTAAGAATTGGAATATACAAGAATACCCTAGAAGATGCACTTTTTCAGGGAAAAAAAATTGTGCAATACTTATCCTGTATCTAATGCTTCCAAATCCCAGAGGCCAAAGTCAAGACTTAGTGAAGAAGTGAAAAATACTCATAACATTACTCACATAGCAGCATAACAAGATTTATGTAAAAAATATAGCACTGAAAGAAGATTATTGAAGATGTAAATTGATAGGTGTTTATGGCTTTGAACATTTCAGCATGTTTCTTCCCCCAAACAAATGAAGCCTATATATAAGATATTGATACATATTATTTACTTTTTATCCACCTATATTGATTAAAAGTGAAAAGTGTTTCTAGAAATGCCATTTGCCATTTACAAATGCCATTTCAAACATCCTGACAAACACATTAGTTTCCAATCTTGCTTAATTTACATAAACAACAGACAGTACATCTCAACTGTTCTAAATAGAACTTAATGTTACAATATTTAGATTTTAAATATTTTTGTAGCTAAATCTTAATGATATCCTGGTACCTGACTGATGATGCTGATATTGGAATATATTTTAGAGTTGCAAGATTTCCTTCAGATGCATAACATTTTATCTGTATTTTTTTTAATGGAAATACTTCTATTGTTACTTGTGCATGTACTAGACTACAGGAATATAATTAAATTGCACATATTTTAAATACTCTGTTTAGCCCAGCTAAATGGGACCGATTTTTCATGATCCCTTCTACAGCTCCTTACTCAGGCAACACTCTTCTCTTTCAACAATGCCTCCAAAAACAAGTAGGCAGAGTCCTTTTCTATACCAGACGCGATCGCTCCCGTCTCGTAACAGTCAGATCAGAAACAGAATCTACAGCACTATCAAATCTAACTGATCATTCTGGCAACCCCCCCTCCAATCCCTTGTTGTCATAGGGGGGGCTTAGGAGACGGAGACTGAGACCCAATGCAGGGATCTCCCCTGTTCCCTGTCTAGGGGAGATCCCTTTCTAATTTTGCATGGTCTTTTCCCCCTCCAGCTTTTTGTTTCCATCCCTTCTCCAATCCCTTCTACTATCTACTTCCTAAGGTGTAAGAGCCTTGCTGAAAGGATGAAAGGCTGACCTTGTGCCAGTCCTGAATGGCCTGCGGGAACCATGGGCACAGTACTCCCAATTTAGTTGTCTAGCCCTTACCTCCATACAGGGCACTGGGGGGTGGAATGTTTATTTCCCTTTACATAATCAAGGCTTCCCATGGCCAGTAATGAAGATGTAATACCCCTATTAGGGGAAATGACGCTTGCCCCTTCATCAAATAGCCCCACTTGCTCCCTGACCCCAGGCTCTCCTTTGACCACGACTCTGAACACTGAAACTACTACCCACTCCTCAATGCCTACTTGTGCATTACCCACCCAAGCAGAGACAATCTCCAGAAGACATTCCTACCCTCCCAACTTCCTCAAATTCATCACCTCTACTCCTACAACCTTCTTCATCAAACACCCCAACCTGCATTATTGATACCTTACAGCCTTATTCTCCATCTCTTCGTAATACTACACCCCTCAACAACACTCCCACTTCCACACGCCCCTGTCCTTCTACCACCATCCACCCTACAAATATCTTAACTACTATAGCCCAGCTAAATGGAACTGATTTTTCGTGATCCCCCTACAGCTCCTTACTCAGGCAACACTCTTCTCTTTCAACAATGTCTTCAAAAACAGATCTGAAGCAGAAGCTATAGCATTATGAAAACTAACTGATCTCTCTGGCAACCCCATCCCTACAGAACCTCATCCAACTCTTAATACTTGTACTGGAACTGTCTCCATCTCCCCAGCAAACTGCCCAGTCGATACCAAAGATTGGTCAGATTGTGGAGAAGACTTGCTTGGCTGGCTCAAAGACCAGGATGTGATATCAGTACATTGCTACTCCATTCCTCCTAGAGGTCATCGAAAGAAACTCACCAACATTGCCAAAATTACTTTCAGTACACATGACCTACCCATTCGTATCCACATTGGTGGACAATCCCTCCCTGTTCAACCATACTAACCTCTTCCCTGTCAGTGTCAAAATTGTTGGCGATTTGGACATCCTGCCAAACACTGCCGCTCACTCTACGTGAAGCCAGACAGGAAGCACGCTGACAAGGTTTCTCTTATACTCCCTACTCCAGTAATGCTACTCGCTCTGCCCCTCCTTCACCTCAAGATGTTCCTACACCCTCCCCTATACCTACTTACTTCCCCACTTCCACTTCTACTTTGAACCTCCCCCAGTCAAATTCTTTTGCCACTCTAAATCCAGACACCCCAACCTCAACCACAGCTCCAATCTCAACTACAGCCCCAACACCATCCCCTCTCCCTCCCCGCACTACCCGCAGTAGACAGACGAAACGTTCCACCCCTTCTTCCCCTACCGTACACTCACCTCCACCTACCTTTACCTTTACTCCTCAGACACCAGTCTCTTCTTCCCCCGTCATAAGAAAATCTTTGTCCCACAAAACTCTCCAACAAACTCCACTGCAGAAACTATGGAAAACATCCAAAACTATATGCTTGAGACACAAAATTCCATAATTCATGTTCCCTCCACATTTGAAGTGATTGCCGATATCCATACCCCTCCTACTCATATTCCCCCTACACCCCTTCCTCCTCCCTCCCAACACAACCTAACCCCTTCAATGCCGTCCACCACCGATATCCATCCTCCCGATACCCATCCTGAAATCCATCCGCCTCTTATTCAGAGCACCCCTACACCCCTTCCTCCTAATCCCTCCCAAGACAACACATCCCCTTCAACTCCAACTATCCATCCTTCCGATATCCATCCTCCCGATATCCATCCTCCTACCACTAATATCCCCCCACCCACACCACTTCCTCCTTCTCCCTCCCAACACAACCCACCCCCTTCAACTCCCACTATACGCACATTCTCCCTCCCTCCA